ACGGCAATTGAAGCCTCAACAATTTGAACATTTACTGAATATCAGGCTTCTGACTACATATTATTTGCATTCAAAGTTACTGGTACTGCCTCTTTCCAGTCAAATGTGAGGGGCTAGAAAACTGTCCAATCAATCCAGCTGACATAGTTTGGACTGTGACTCTGCTTCTTCTGCATTACCTTTTGGACCAGTTGCCTTTTGGTTTGTTGTTGACCCGGCCTGAAATCTGACCCTGAGCTCCCATTTCCTTTGGTACTGTGCAATTCTAATTACTGGCTACTAGGGTTGCACAGATACCAAGTACAGTACTCGGTACAGGTACGAGTATATGTACCGATACTTTTGAGCTCCAAGACTAGACTAGAGAAAAATTCAAAAATTAGGAGGCAGCTGTCATTTGTAAGGAGCACACAGAGCTCCCGGGATTTGTACATCTCTGTTTTATTGTACGATTTTGTTTTTATAAATATAAATAAAGGGATGCACAGATACCAGTTTTGCGAGTATGAGTACTGGTACTTGCCGAGTACTTACAAGTACGAGTACTGATACATTTATGTTTATTGTCATGTGACAGTTTTTCTAAAACAATACAGACTAATGATTTCAGGAAAGTGGTGGAGTGCCAGAGCCCGGTCCCAGCTGCAACCGTTGCAACCCTGGTAGTTCTCATGAAAATGCCAAGTATCGGCACTGGTACTCAAAAAGTATCTGTGCATCCCTACTGGCTACTGACCCTGCCTGACACCATACTGTGAGTAGTTCCTTTCATTATTATTGTATTGCAGGTCCTGCTCTGGCTACACTTCGCTCATCGGGTCTCTGCATATCCCGGATGCAAGATTCTCTTCTGTCTCTCCACCTGACACCGGAATAACAAGACTACTGGTCAGGAAATTGGAGGGACGGGTGGGGGGCTAGAAAACTGTCGGGTTTTGGAGGGACGGGTGGGTGGGACTTCTTGGCAGGCCTAACACTGACTGTTGCACCCTTTTACTGTAGCAAAAAGCTTAAACCCAAATAACTGCATAGGAGTTATGTTGTACAAATATGAAATTATGATTGGTGATTGTAGCACTCATTTAAATACAATTAGAGACCCGATGCAGATATCAGAATCTTATTGTTACAGGGAGCCCCACATATAAATGAAATGCAGTCTCTCCAGGCCACCAACAACCATTTGCTGCTTCCATGCATTACTGGGATTTCTATCAAGAAGTGGTGACACATGAAATAGTAGTTGGTGGCTGGGGGGATAACCTTATGTCTGCAAGTGAAGGATTACCTGAAAGAAAGGTAATTGAATAGCAGAAGAAATAGGGAACCTTTGCCTTTTTTTAAGATTGTGTATGCTGACGTTATACAGACTATATCTGTGATCCCTCAATCAGGCTAATTCATCCCCACACAGCTACCTCCTCATGTATCATTGGCCCTTCCCTTTTAGATTGTAAGCCCTCCTTACCATCTTGTCTTGAATTCTAATGTCTTCCTTATATTGTGAAGCGCTGAGCAAACTGTTGGTACTATATAAATGCAGTATATTAATAATAATAATGTCCTTACTGTCCTTCCATTGAAATCACTGTGGTTTAAACAAATTATTACTAACTCCCATATGCTACGGCTTTCCGGGCATGTTAGCTTTCTTTTTAAATCTCTCTGTTCAACTAATCTTTTGCATTAATTATAATAGGTTAATGCAAGGTATGGGAGATAAAGTTATTAAACAAATGGAACCAGAATCTTGGTTTGTGATATAGAGCTGCATATAAATTAACAGGATGACAGACCGTATAAGTAACACTTGTTTTGCATGGAGAACGGAAAGTTTGCGGACTCCATTTAAGGGAGTCTTTGCTAGTTGCCTCATGCTGTGAGTACATCCTTCTCAAGTACATTTCCTTTGGTTAGTTACACAGAAAACTGTAAAATATGATTACAGCCCTAGTTATGTTTAATTTTAATCATGATGTGCTGGCATGAGATGCTGCATGGTCACATTATTTAGTTTTGATTTAATAAATGATCTCTGCACAGCCTCTTAAATAGGAACTTTACCCATATCTTCAAAAAGTGAACAAAAGCACCTTTAGAAATGTTTGGTAATGGCAATTTGCAAACAGATACTTATAGATGATTGCCGGCTTTTTATTCTTTGCATACCTTATTTTTCTTTTCCTCCCCATTCCTCTTTCAGTGGCCATTTTTTACTAAGGGCAGATGAATCAATCTCCCTTTACTTTCTGGAACTCTGGCACATGCGACTAGGACATGTGACCATGCACATCATCTCAGAGGAGGAAAATTCCTTTCCCTGAAATCTTGTAAGATTAGATTTCACATGCTCTGCTGATGCAACCCTCCCAGGATGCAACACTTGGGCACAATTACATCACTTTTGCCAAAGAGGACCAGTAAGTAGAAAACAAGAAACTGTAAGTAAAATGAAGATATGTTTGTTTAGCTAATGAATGTAAGATGATTTCATATCAGCCTGCAGAGCTGCAGGCTGATGTGATTTTTAGCCAAAGGGGGTAAGGGCCAATTTAATGCCCAGAGGGAGAAGTAGTCCTCAAAGTGAATAAAAGTCAAAACTTTTTGGTTTTGGATAGGGTCTAGAAGAGTTAAATGACCTGCCAGGATTTTATCACTCAGCTAAAAACTTGACATGTAATGAAGAAAAACACCAGAAACAAATTGTATCAAGGTTCTGTTTTAATTTTATTTGACATTTGCTCCATAAAAAGCTATGGCTGTTAAACTGGCATCTAGAGTGTTCCTTCCTGTCTGACGTTTTATAATCTTTGAGGATCTCTCCATTTTGAAAAAGACTAGCAAATGTTTTTTTTCAGCTGTATCAAGCCGTACAAGGGATCCCCTGAACCCACAAAATGGGTTGGGATTTTATAGTATGAAACTTCCCGCACGCAGGTATCGGAATATTGCCGCGCGTGCGCGATGACGGCATCGTGCACGCGCATGGTGACGTCGCGCACATGCACAGTGACGTATCGGCTGGGTGACACTTGGTTACCGCTCCGGGTGTCACCCAGCCTCGGGACGCCCCTGACTCTAGGACATGAAGTGATGGGAAATTCTCCCTAAAGGGATATAGACATAAAACAAAATGACAGGGGTCTTAACAATTCCCAACTATAGCCAACATAAAGTTTTGACTTTACAAACACTTAAATGTCATGGTTCCCCAAAGGGTTTTTTCTCTACCCAGTACAAGACGATGTAGTGTAGTTTTTTTAGGTAGGCCTTCACATTACACAGGTTTGGATACATTTTAAAGGAGATTGTGCAATGTTTGCACAATCAGGTTGTAATTAGTCATTAAAGAATCTTCCTGTACATATAATTTAAATTTTAGTGATTGATTCACCACCAGTGAATGTTTAGTGAAAGCCAGATTTACGATTTTAAAAATATGCCCCTTTAGTGTACCTGAGGGCCACAACTTGGGAGCTGTTCTGCATCAAAGTCCATTACTCTATGCGCGATGCACTTGTGAATACCAGGCAACTTCTTAAAATAGATTAATTTGGATCCTCTGCTACCATAGGTTCGCAGGGAATAGTGAGTTAGAAATCTGCGGTCCCAGTGAACTAATGTGGAAACATGCCAGACCAAATTTTTTGGTAACCATAAATGCACTGCCTGACCTTTGAACTTAGCTCAGCTGGCTAAGAAGGGCCAATGATGGGGGGCTTTGTTACGTGTTATCCTACTCACTATGACAGGGTGAGTTTCTAGCTGCCATTTGTCAGTGTGAGCTGGATTGCTAACAGTCTGTATAGGGAGAGTTAGTTGCTATACAGTGCTATATTGTGCTTAAGTACTGTAGACTGAAGCCTGTTGGGTTACATATTCTTATTTACCATCCTTCCTATACAATTCAGAGACCCAACAGACCTTTTACGGCAGGGGTTTCAAACTCAATTCACTTGGGGGCCGCTTGCCAAATTTCAAACTTCAAAATAAAATTTAACTATATCCAGTATTGTACTGTGGACACAAATATACTCCCAATAAGGCCACATTCATACTTGCAAGTTTATATGCGATTAGGGATTCCTGCTTCAGGAACTTGCATTTTCCTGCAGTAGGAATCCTTAATCTGGTGTTTACAAGTGGCAGCCGTCACCCATTCAAGTCAATGATCAGGTGACAGCTGCTGCATGTAAACGCCTGCACACCGCATGGAATGGTATGTGATATGATTACATGCGGTTAGAAAACACTCTCCTTGGATGCACAATCGATCCGTCCAGGGATTGTGATTGATTCCTAACTGCATGTAATCATATTGCATATGATTATGTGCGATGTGAAGGCGTTTACATGCAGGCTATCACCTGATCATTAACTTGAATGGGTGACAGCTGCCGCTTGTATTGTACACGCCAGATTAGAGATTCCTGCTGCAGGAAAACACAAGTTCACACCTAAACATACAAATGAGAATGCAGCCTAATACACCCCCCCCAATACAAATAAAAAAAATACACTAACCCCACACACACACAAAAGAATACTACCCCTGCACATATAAAGTAAAGTCTAGTGCAGACCTTAATTTTAACCAAAATTCTCCTACATCCAACCCTGCCAGTAGCATCCTTCCCAAGGCAGGTGTCTCTTCTCCAGCTGCTGGAGCGGAAACGAGAAATGTCCCCAAATTACCCCTATGACCGGTGTCTAAATGCCAGCTTGGCAACACTGCTCCCATTTCAACACGTGGTATCAGCTCCCTTCCACAAAGTTATAGCCTATGCTACACCACAGTGGCAGGTGCCCAGCCACCAGATAGCTGTCCCTGGTCTCCACCAGTATGTCTACTGTAATGTGTTGCTGGACCACACTGTCAGCAGTAGGGTACACATAACCATGGAGAAATGGTTCACTAAGCTTGGGAAGATAACCCCCATACTTTCACAGCACACTAGGTCAAGCTTTTGTGGCTGGAAAAGATACAGGGTGGGGCACACATCCATGGAGCTGGTGGTGCTGCCATGTGTCTTGTCCAATGGTGAAAGTGCAGTCACTTGTACTCCCCCAATGCACTGGTTTCATCCTCTGACTCCTCAGAACAAGCACCCCTCCCAAGTGTCCCAGAGCATATACATAATCCTAGGATCGATAGTGAAAGTGCGCTTTGCTCAATCTGGCCAGCGATTGGTTAGCAAATTGCTCTCGGAAAGATAAGGCTCCCCTGATTGCCCTGATCACCCTTTTCTTAATTTGGCCATTTTGGATTATTTAATTTGGATATGGATTTGCATTAACTTTGGATTGTTGTACATTTAAAAAATAAGACCTAGTGTGTTTTTTTTTTGAGCCAAAAAATATATAACAGTGTCTTATTTTCGGGGAAACACGGTATCTTATCATTAATGTTGCTTTTCACTTATTAAACTTAAAGGAGAACTATGGGGTCAGCTTTTTTCCCCATAGTTCTCCTCAGGGTCACGGGAGGACATAAACTAGCGTCCTCCCGTGACCCAAATCTCAGTATACCACGAGCTACAGCTCGCGATATACTGAGACCGCCGCACCCTGGACGGATCCCGACATTACTGTTGTGATCCACCCAGCTGCGTGATTGACAGCTGGTTCTGCCTATCTAGAGGCAGAGCGAGCTGTACCCGCCCCCTCCCCCGTTTGTTCCTCCAGTCAGCACTGGAGGATCGTACAGGGGATGGGGGGGGGAATCCCTGCAGAGAGCAGTGAGTGACAGTCATGTCTCTCCACAGGGACAGGATCAAGAAGTGAGCGAGCGACGGTATGTGTTCGCTCACTTCCCGATCTATTGAGCCGACGTGTGACAGTTTCATTGTCACCCGTCAGCTCGAACTATGAGGCTGAGTGAAAATCACTCACCTCATAGTTCTCCTTTAAGCATGATTTAATCAAGGCGAGTGTTAGGCCCCCAGGATTGTGGACCATGTAGCGCATGTTACTACTGCCAGCCCTGCTGCTATGCCATGGACTAAAATCAGAAAGTAGACTGCTTTATCAGTTAAAACATATTTTGAGTTAATTACAGTGTTTACCTTTACAGTAATTTTTAATGCGACCATCACTTTTAACATGTTTTTGTTCTTTTGTTATTGGATTAAAATGTAGAAAGGGGAAAAACACTGTTTCGCACTGCAAAGCTGGAAGCAGACCCTGCATTTGTAGAGAAAATACAGCTACCCCCATTCACAATCCACATATAGTTACAAACTATACCTAGGAACAATATGCTTATTATTGATATTAAAGGAGAACTATGGGGTTAAGTCTTTTCCCCATAGTTCTCTTTAGGGTAACGGGAGGACACAAACTAGCAATCTCCCGTTACCCTAAGCTCAGTATACCGCAAGCTGTAGCTCGCGGTATACTGAGAAGCCGCAGCTGAAGCGGATCCCGACAATTGTGCCGGGATCTGCCCAGCTGCGTGACTGACAGCTGGCTCTGCCTATCTAGAGGCAGAGCCAGCTGTACCCGCCCCCTCCCCCGTCCGATCCAGCAGTCAGCGCTGGCGGATCGGAGCGGGGGGAATCCAGCCCCTCCCCTGTCACCGCAGAGAGCCGTGACAGGATCGAGAGGTGAGCGAACACCGCTATGTGTTCGCTCACCTCCCGATCTACTGAGCCGACATGTGACAGTCTCATTGTCATGGGTCGGCTAGAACTATGAGTTGAGTGAAAAGCACTCACCTCATAGTTCTCCTTTAATACACACACACACTAAAGAAAACTATAAATTCCCTTTATATAATAAATTGACTTTCCATGTTGATGTTTACACAGTTCAAACAATTCTAGCACATTCATGGGAATTTGACCCAGAACAATTGCAACAGACTTGTAATGACTACAGAACATCTGGGTTAAAGTAGAAATCTGGGTGCATCTGGGTTAAAGTAGAAAAAAAACAGGTATTATTTGCAGGCATTCAGACTTGCCTGTACATATCTTCATTTATCTCAAGAAAGCCCCTGGGGTAAGCTATTATGCAAATACCAAATTCAGCTCATAATGTCATTGTATTATTGGAACCAAAGATGTTACACAGTGGGTAAAGTGCTCCCCATTTCAAACTCTGCCATGTGTGACTAATGTCAGCCATAGATTTTCATATGAATGTTTATATAAAAATTTTCATCAGAACATTCAATAACATTATCAAAACTTGATGACTGTGCAATTTTTTTTTTTTTTTTTTTAACATTCAATTTTGGAATAATGGAGTTTCCCAAAAAACATATTTACCGTTAGAATTTTGTTCAAGCAAGAAATTTCAATCTTACCTCTGATTTTTTTTCATCACTATGGTCAAAATCAATGGTCAGTTTGACCCCATTCATTATAAGAAAATTGAACAAACTTTCCAAAAACTGTTTTTTTAAAAAACAAAATTCTATCTATGAATACCCAGTTTACCACTGATCCAGTGCCAGATGCACAGAGGATGGGAGGAAGGGGAATAAGCTAATCAAGGTCACCCAAAGCTAATCAACCCTTCCATTTCCCAACCAAATTGGCCAAAAATGCTAAAACAGCCTGTATTATAGCTCTCTGTGCCAGTGTCTCAGTGGTGTTATATATATATAGTACTGGTGTTATATACAACCATAAGCACTGGGAACAGTCTTCTCCTGATGCAGGATTAATTAAGGATTTTGTTACAGGGGTTAGTGCTAGGTTATGCTTATGGTTGGGTGCTTAGGTTAAGCATAGTGTTTTCAGTCAGGATTTTCAGGGTATAGCTTAGAAACTGTCACTTTGTCCATTACTGTCTGTGTAAAGCTCTCACGTGGCATGGTAACATGACATGCAGGGGGCTTATTAATTTTGAATGGGCTGCCAACGAACCCCAGCATGGGCAAAACTGCACCTGAGCCTTTATTGGGATCACAACGAATGGCAATGCCTGGCTACAATGCATCACAGTAATGTAGACATGTGCACTGCCAAACATTTTGTTTAGTTTAGCTTCGTTTTAAATTCGGATTTGTGTTATTTCGTTTTTCGGGATTCGGGTGTGAAAGTCAATTCGGATTCGGAATTCGGATTCGGACGAAATTCGGTAGCGGTAGTTCGAACATTCGTTTCATTTTCTGTTCTTATTCGTTTCTTATTCAATTCTTATTCGTTTCTTATTCGTTTGCAGCAAAGTGACATTTGAGGGGGAAAAAATATTTTTCTCCTTCTCTGTCACTTTGCTCCAACGAACGAAACGAATAAGAAACGAATAAGAATAGAATATGAAACGAACGTTCGAACTACCGCTACCGAATTTCGGAAATTCGGATTCGTTTGCATTCGTTATGTCTGCAATTCGGAATTCAGATACATCCGAATGTCCGAATTTCCGAAAATTCGTCCGAATTTCGATTCGGAACGAAACGAATCGCACATGTCTACAGTAATGTGTATGCTACCCTAACAATATAATGATGTGATTGAACCTTATAGTTTCCCTAGTAGGTTGAAGTGTTAAGTGCTAGGATGGGGCGGGTGGGGGGTTAGGAGTTTGGGACAAGTTTTATGGGTTCAGTTAGGTGAATAGATTATAGTAAGGGGTGCATTAGGATTTTCTCTTGTATTCAGCACTGAAGTCCCAGCACGGCATCTACCAGCATCTACTTCCTGGTGACGAGAACGAATACACTGAAAACAGCCAGGCACCAGATGAAGGTGGCTGCATGGAGCTCAGTCAATATCAAAGATTTTCCTACTTCCAAACTCTCCGAGAAGCCAAGGTGAAAAATATGTACATAATAAATTCAAAACCTTAAAAGGAGAACTATGGGGAAAAGCCTTAACCCAATAGTTCTCCTTTAAAGCATACATTAAATCAAATTTTAAATAAAAGCTAAATTAACAGTTGCACTGGGGCAGATAAACAAAGAGCAATACAAGAACAGAAGAAATAGTTTTCCTTAAGAAAACCTTGCTCCAGACTCCCTTCTATCCCAGAAGCCTAAGAATTTGGTCACATCATATCTGTTGTTGGGAAGGCTGATCATCCCTTTTATTTAAATATAAATGACCATATACACTATATTGCCAAAAGTATTGGGACGCATGCCTTTACACGCACATGAACTTTACTGGCATCCCACTCTTAGTCCGTATGGTTCAATATTGAGTTGGCCCGCCCTTTACAGCTTTAACAGCTTCAACTCTGTCCACAAGGTTTAGGAGTGTGTCTATGGGAATGTTTGACCATTCTTCCAGAAGCGCATTTGTGAGGTACTGGCTTGCAGTCTCCGCTCTAATTCATACCAAAGGTGTTCTATTGGGTTGAGGTGAGGACTCTGTGCAGGCCAGTCAATTCCATCACCCCAAACTCGCTCATCCATGTCTTTATGGACCTTGCTTTGTGCACTGGTGCGCAGTCATGTTGGAACAGCAAGGGGCCATCCCCAAACTGTTCCCACAAAGTTGGGAGCATGAAATTGTCCAAAATGTCTTGGTATGCCTTAAGAGTTCCCTTCACTGGAACTAAGGGGTCAAGCCCAACCCCTGAAAAACAACCCCACACCATAATGCCCCCTCCACCAAACATTACACTTGGCACAATGCAATCAGGCAAGTACCGTTCTCCTGGCAACCGCCAAACCCTGACACGTCCATCGGATTGCCAGACAGAGAATCTTCTCTCCAATGGTGACGTGCTTTACACCACTGCCTACGACGCTTTGCATTGTACTTGGTGATGTAAGGCTTGGATGCAGCTGCTCGGCCATGGAAACCCATTCCATGAAGCTCTCTACACACTGTTGTTGTGCCGATCTGAAGGCCACACGAAGTTTGGAGGTCTGTAGCTATTGACGCTGCAGACAGTTGGTGACATCTGCGCACTGTGCGCTTCAGCATATGCTGACCCCGCTCTGTCATTTTACGTGGCCTACCACTCCGTGGCTGAGTTGCTGTTGTTCCCAGTTGCTTCCACTTTGTTATAATACCACTAACAGTTGATCGTGGAATATTTAGTAGCAAGGAAACTTTGCGGAACACCTGAATCTATCGATTTGGAGGGGTGTCCCAATACTTTTGGCAATATAGTGTACCTACATTATGGCCATATGGAATTTCTGATTAAGTGGGATCCAAGTGTGGATTTCTAAAAGAAAATTGTTATTACTCTTATTTATCTGTCCCAACAAGTCTCTTAATATATCTTGAATTCTTCGTCACTATAGAACCCATTTACTGTGAGAGGAAAGACATAAAATCCCCTAAAGTTCTTTTTGTTTTTCAGTTTTCTCTCCTTTCCACCGACCACCATGAAGTGCCTGGCACCAGTCCATGCCATAATCACATTCACAAATGTCCTTGAAGACACAACACACTGCTATGATGTCTGTAGACAGATGGAACCCAGCATAAAGAAGAGTGAGAATCTCTTACCTAGGAGCATCAAAGCTGTCATAGGATCCAACCGTGTAGTGTCTAAACAAGCGCTTGGCTTTGTCGCTCCGGCTCTCTGACGAGGAACATGCAAAGGAAAAAAAGTGTTAGGAGTACAATAAATGGGAAGCGGTCTTATATTTTTAGGAAATAGTCATTGTAACAGTAACCAAAATGTGTGACATAGTTTTTACATTTTTACTTGCAGCTATGCCACATTTTCAGTTTTAACTTAGATGTGTAGATGTCATATTATCAGACAGTGAAGCATCCTCGAAAGGTGCTGCAAGAAAATCAATAAAAGGCAAAGTCACCTTTAAGACTGTATTGTTTTCACTGGCATTCTAAAAACAGCTTGGAAAATAGAATCGCACATCAACACATACACATCCACCCATCAAATAGTATAATTTCAAAAAGGTCTGGCACATATACCTTCAAAAAACAGTGTTTTTATTCAGATTAAAATACAGACACAAATTCCAAAATCCAACTAAAGTTAAAGAAGCTGCTTGGATAAGAGTGTCGCGGTTTTTTATTTGTTTATTATCTGTTTTTAAAATTTTATTTTTTAGCAATTTTTGTAGTTTTCGGCTCCGCTCCCCGATCTCCATCCTGAACTACCTTGCCATGGTCCCAGGTCCCCCAGAAGAGTGAGGGACCCCGAAAACCACAGTGGGTAAGGAGGCAGGGAGAGGCAGCCGTAGGTGGAGGAGGAGCATGGAGGGGGGGAACGATGCAGGGAGGGATGGACAATTAGGCTAATTACAAATACAAAACGAGCTGCAGCTTCCCCGCTCTACAGTTAGCTCTGCTTGCCCGAAGCAGGGCTAAACGTAGATAAAAAACTACCGGCCCATAACTGCATATCCCGGGCATCGGACGATAGGAATTCTGCACCCCTGCTACCCCTCTACTCCCTGCGGCTCTGTGGCCGGGCCTCCGTGGCCTTGTTGGAAATCCGGCCCTGGAAATACGTGTTACCAATGTACCAGATATTGATTGGCTTAGCATTATATGGAGGAGTGTGGCAATGAGATGCCACAGTGCCCAATTATGGCAGTCTACAAAAAACACAACGTAGTCTCCCATCAGGTCACTTTTTGGCTTACAAACTTACACACTGGTAATGACTGAATGATGGTTTAACACTGAACAGCAAAAATATATGAACTAGGGTGTGTGTTTATTGTGTCTAAAGGCTTGAGAAAAGGCTTTGTATATTAAATTGCATCTATTATGTGCATGACAGATGGATTATGTTTGTACTTTATTTTGATGTTGGATTATAAGGCCATTACTGACTTTTGAAACTGTTTCAAAATATTTAAAGTCTTCTGTGGTGGCCCTATGTAGGAGCCTGGACTTGGCTGGGGTTTGTGGCTGAAGCAGAAGGTCTGTTAAGGATTAGAGGTATGCGGCCCATTCTACTTCATGATATCCATTAAATATGGCTGCCCCCATGGACGGGTATTATTACAAACTATGATTTTTAATTTAAATAAATAGTATCGTCATCATTTGTTATTAAAAATAAAGGTAAACTCAAGTTTTTTATGATGCAGGAATAAAGATAGTATAAATACACTGCAGTTTCACAGTACAGTTTGTTTACCTTATTTCTTACCAATATTTGTATGTGTTTTCTGCTAATGCCATTTCTTTAACCCTTTCACTACCACACGTTACAATCCACATTTTAGGCCTGCAAATTATTTAATCCCCCCAGAATGTTATAAGCAGAGACCCTGTAGAATAAAATAGTGGCAGTTGCAAATATGTATACCACATGATATTAGTACAACTCTTTATCAAGGCCAAAATTTCAAACACTTACACTTATGTTAATTTTAGTGCAAAAAGCACAATATACTTCCCACTTTTTTTGTAAAATATAAAAGGATGAGGTTGTGCCGAGTAAATAGATATCCAACAAGCCAAGCCTAAAAATGGTGTGCGCTTGTGAAACTGCGCAAAAATACAGGGCCATCAGTTTGGCTTTAACTATGAATATTAGCCCTAGAATTATTGTTCTCACTCTGGCGCACGTGGTGATACCTAAGCTGTGTGGTGCAATTGTCATCTTAATGCATGGGGCCATCGATAGGTGTTTGCATTAGTATGTACACGTGCGCGGGAATGGGGGACTTAACAAAATTTTGGGGACATTTTAAAATTTTATTTAACTTTATTTTGTAAACTTATTTTAGCTTTTTACTTAACTTAATAGGACATTGGAGGTGACAGGTTCTCTTTAAGGTGACATTAGGGGTCTATTAGACTTCCAACGTCACCTATGCTCTACAAAGAAGCTCCTCAAGTACAGATCGTGCATGATGAGCTTTCCCAGCTACTTTATAACAGCACGCCGGAAGTGATGTCGCTTCTGGCTTCATTCATTGGGGAAGACATCAGCGAACAGAAGTTCACTGGTCTCTCTCCCTGCTACCTGCCAACACCTGTGATGTTGGTCCTTTCCAGCCGCCAGAATTGCTTTCAGTGTAAAGCCGACAGTTGGCTTTACACAGGTAAACTGACTCCCAGCAGCTATAATCTGTTTACAGGGGCCCACAGCTAGCGCTGTAAAGCATATGGTGCTGGCAACAAAAGAATTAAAGTAGTAAACTCTAAAAATTATTTTAAAAAATGAATCCAGATCAAACAAATATAAATTGCCCAGTAAAAGTATTCCTTTACATGTTGCCCCATGCACTTACAATCATCATGTTTCTGAACAGCTGTCTCCATCTCTCTCAGCTCAGCTTTCCTGAACTTCCTGCCAGTTCTTTGTCCCTTGTGATCTTTCACAAGAGACAAAGCAGTCTCCAGTAGCCATCCATCTACTAGCTTGGAGAAGGAAGGAGGAGCCGGGAGCGGGGCAGTGTCTTGCCTTGCTCTGCCTTTGTGTTTGTGGAGACACTCACACAGCTTACTAGAACAAACAACGGGTGGCTCCAATGGACCCTTTAAGCGAAAGGAGCCACCCTAAAACAGGACATAAGGGTCAGTGCTCAGGGGACCAGCTGATTCTACAGGAAACAATGTTTTAAACATCAAGGAGCAGCATCCATCATAAGTGATTTCATCAGCAGTTGAAATAGCTTAAAAACGTTTGACTTTAATATTACTTTAATGACTGTGATCCATTGACAGGTAACTTTTTTAGTCTCAGAACACCCTCCCCTTACTACTATGACCACCTTCTCCTGCTCCAATAAGGTTTAACCAGTCACTTTCTTACACAATACACATGCTATAAGTCTTCTCTACCCGTGATGTCATTGACATGTAAGTCATATCGGGCAGGCATGTTATCTCCAAAAGTGTCCCCAACCTTTTGAACATTTTCAGATAATGTCTTCTTCACGGGATAGCTTCAAACATTGTAAATCCATGCTCCAATGCTACAAAGATGTTCTGGCTCTTGGCGATCTGAGAGAGCCCACAGAGTCTGCCAGGAGACGGAGAATGTAAGGAATGATGTAAGCCTCTCTCAAAGAGAGCATGTCTATCACCTAAGGACAATGGCAAAAAACTGAGGCTTGCTGGGAGAGGGATGGGTTATATGGGGCTGTCTCTGCTGCCTTTTCCTTTTGCTAGTGTCCAGTGACCTGAAGGTAGCATAAAACCCAGGGTTTAAAGAGCCTGTGCCCTGTAGTATACAATTAAGGTTTTTTAAAAAATAGTTTCCTATTAAATTCCTATTTAACCCCCTATCAACCTTTAGTTTACCTTAATCAGCCCCAATGAATTGCTTCTTTACCTTCACCCCTAAGTGATTGTTTTCCTGTTGATTTAGCTTGCTTTTTTTTTCTAACCATTAATATTTAAAAGTTTGTTTTTTTTATTTGTTTTACTGGTTAATTTTTTTTAATATTACATTAAAAATAGCAACTTGAAAAAAAGAGCCTTTATGTCCTTTGTAAATGCTTTGTACCAGAATCACAATTTTAATGTCATTTTAAACAGAACACATTTTTAAATAATATCCTTTTTTATCTACAGTAATGCTAATTATAATTGAAGTAATCAAAGTAGAAAAACTTTTTTTTTTGGGGGGGGGGGGGGTTGTTTTATTTTTTTCCCCTCTATGTATAACATTTTTTTTGCAAAACAAAAATCACCAAAATTATTGTCCTTAAAAATGATATACGAGTTTCATTATTATCTTAAATAACAACAATGTTATTGCTGAATAAACAGGCCTATAGCAGAAATGTAAAACGTGCTCTGTTCCATAGGGGGTGTACAGGTGTGCAAGCTAAAGTGGTTAAAGGGGCTGTTTAGGTAATTATAAGCTCTACAAAGTTATTGGTAAATCCTGATGATCTCACAGATCAAATCCAAGGAAAATCTTACTGCTGTATAGCCAGCCTAAAATAATTATGTCAGGACATTAAGCACATGCTCCAGGGCTATAATTCATTGACCTGAAACAGATGTATGTATAGCAGGTGTCAGAACACCCAATATGCTCTTATCTGTTCCAGGTCAGAGACCCGCTTGAGTCATGAAGCAAGGGTAAGTATGACAGCACTAGGGCATGCACCTGCAGAAACAAGTCAGCTGTGGCAGCTCCCATGTTTCTCTTGACAGGTTTCTTTTTAAATGTGAATACTTCCTGCAAGTACTACTTGATCTATCTGCTGCCTGTGACACAGTTGGTCACCATCTTTTCATCTAGTCTCTGAGGTCTTTTGGGCTGACCAACTTCAATCCATTTCCTCTGCTAACAGCTGGAGTGCCACGGGTGGGGCAGGGGGATCATTAGATTGTCCTTTAATATTAACAACTGCACATTGCACCCTGGGATGATTAATTAGCAGCTTTATATTCAAATACCATCTGTATGCCGATGGCGTTGAACTGTATACTTTTGCATGTGGATTCTCACTCCCTCTGCTGGTCAACATTACAAATTGGTTTTCCTTTTAATGGCTTCATTCTACAGTAAACCTTTTCAAAACTGGATAAATAAACACATTTTCAGAACTGTTAAAAAAAAAATAATCCATCCTGCACTGAATTGTTTTCGCAATGAACTATGCAGTGGCTGTAAACAAGAGCCAGTCAGGTCGAAACGAGTGGCGAACATGCTGTTTTTACTATGGAGCTAATAAAGTGAGTTTTACTTCATCCTGTGGATAAGCTGACTGTCTTCTTAATGCAGTTATCATTCCCTCACAACAAGCCCTCTGTCTGCTGATCAATGCTGACTCTGCACTATACTCATTTACCCATATTAAAGTCCCATCAAAGTCATGCTTCTTTTAGCTGAAAAACATCTCTTTTATCCCACCCCTACCTTGCTAACAAAACTGTTACCAAATTAATCTATGCAGTAATCATTTCCCAACCGGAGTAATGTAATTGTTTACTAAAATGCTTGCACACAAATTGGCACCAATTCAATCAGTCATGATAGCAGAATAACTCACTCCCAGGCAGTGGCGTAACAACCGGCGCAGGACTGAGGGGGGGCGCCGTCACGACCCCCGCTAAATGAAGCCATGGCTCCCTCTCTCTGACACGATCACGCTCGCTCCTCCGAGGCTACTGCGAGAGGGCCTCTACAGTGACTGTTAGGACCACACTTTGCAGAGGTGCCTTGGCGTGGCAGTGTGGCTTCTACATATCTTTGGCCAAAAGTTTGTGCAACTAAAACCTCTGATTTTAACGCATATTGTTGACAGGGCTATTTGTTTGGTTGCAGGCTGGCTGGCAGGTTGAGGCTGGGGAATTTTTGTGCTTTGTATTGTTGTAAGCCTTCCCAATGTGCGCCCTGCTATAAAGGCTGGTTATAGATTCATGCATGTACCATCTTTTATAGTCGGGCCTCTACAGTGCCTGATTGGAGGGCGCGTCTGCCTGATCCAGCCAGCCCCGATCGCATAGCGGCTGGCCGGCTGGGTGCAATGGGGGGAGGGATGTACTGTAATCTGGGGGGAGAGGAGACCAGGGAGGGATGTACTTTCACTTTGG